CAATACAATATAAATATAGAGTCCAAAAAGTATATAAAAATATACGAACATAAACTGTACAACAGTGCAGAGTAAAGTGCAGATGGGAGGGGCAGCTTCCATCTGACTGGTGAAGGGTTCATCAGAGAGACATCCTGAGGGACAGAACTGTTCTTGTGTCTGGTGGTTTTTGCGTACCGGGCCGGTGGTGTGTTATTAAAGTTCATCCAATCAACAAATTACTCACAATCCCTCTTTCAAAATCCGACGGCTGATGAAGCACATCCTTCACTCCTGCTGAGAGAGGACAGGTGTTGATCAACAGCACAGAAATTGGGGAACTCGTTGAACAGAACATTGGTGTTGATGTCTCCTGATTACATTGTGAATGCTTTTCTAATAAGCATCAACGGAGCCTAAACTGGACCGCTCCTCTCAACACGTTTGAATGTGACTGCGTTCACAAACCAAGCGGCATGCGGCCGGAGAGCAGAGATCTCGTGAGTAATCCCTTCGTGGGTGACTGACCCAAATGTTCTGAAGGAAGGAAATTCCTCTGGTGTACTTGAGCAAAGTTCCAAGGGGGATGTTTTTCTTTTCCACCTGATCAGAACCCTTTCAGAATGGACATCCTTTTAAAATGCATCTGGTGATCATGGGATGAGGTAAAGGCTGCTGCTGCACTCACATGATGGTCCTGAAGTAAGTTACCTGAAGGTGAGACATAGACAGGCTAACAGGTTGAGGCCTGCTGCGGGTCCAAGACGTATCTCTCCAGGGATTCATGGTGTCTGGGTTTGAGACGGCCGGTCACAGGAACCAACATAGTGAGCTGATTATTTCTCTTCTTATCAGCAGTTCTGTTCCTTACAGGTGCTACAGGACAATCCCATGATAACATGGAGGATGGGACCACAGGAGAAGATGGGATATGCCAGTTGTTGTTGTTGTTGTTGTTGTTGTTTGCACTGTTCAACACTAACACGACCAACGCAGTAACGCCACACGCAAACCTTTGTCAGGTCTCACCGGTGTCTCTCATTCCAGTTTTGATGGCTTTATTCATGACTTCTGTTTCTCTTTTAATTAGTGTGATTTCTCTCCGGGGCGTCCAACACAAAAGCAGTTTTATCAGATGGAACGGACGCTGCAGATAAAACGTTTGCCACGGGTCTTAATTAAAAGCACTCAGGCAGCGGTGTATTGTAGGGCAGAAACAGATTTACCCCTGAGCTTTCTGTTTTTATTTCATACATCATGCAAAACTATAATAATTGGATGACATTTATGAGTCTAATACTTATTTATTAAATACTAATAATGTTTTGAGGAGAACCAAGTCAAACATATAGTTGGAAATGTGTTGCTTTGCAGCCTAAATGTATCACTATAATTCCATGAATCCTTTTTAGTGCATCACAAAACATTAGAGTCTAACATTTTAATTCATGTGAACTATGATGATGCTACAGCTATTGGGTATTTTTGAAATTGTAGTTTGAGACAAGTGTTACCCAGACTGATTCCACCCACCAGATGGAGGGCTTGACTAACTATGTGATGCATTTACAAGATGGAAGATGGCTGTTGCTATTTTATTGCATTCTTATTTCATCAAAAACCTGCTGATTGATTGGCAGGGAAACACGTCCACATTAGGACGGATGGGAGCAGCTATTGGTGTAACTAATAAGCACACCGTTAGCCAGGATTTGTACTTTTAGCGCCGGCTCGAGCTTTGAGGAGTTGAGCCGTTGATGCTCTCTGGTTTATCAATGGTTGTCACCTGACAGGGAACCAATCTTTTTTCTGACAAAAATGTATTTTTGCAAGAATATACAAACATCTCCCCTGCGGAGGGGGACACAGATGTTTGTCACCTTAGACCACAGGTGTCAAACTCAATGCCCCCAGAATCCGGCCCAGAATCCGGCCCGCCGGGGGTCCAGCGCGGCCGCCGGATGACTTTGCTATTGTGAGAATTACAGAAAGACATAAATTGCATTTCTATATACTGAGGGCGGCCCTCGTCCACCAGCGCAGTGCCGGTAGATCCCTCGTGGACATTATCGGCCCAAACCTGACACGAGTTTGACACCAGTGCCTCAGACCAGCGGCTCCCAAACGCACCGCTTCACAATCCCAACTGGGCTCCTGATCCTCCCGGCCACTAAAAGAAAATGACAACAGTTTGCTCCCGCGTGATGTTTGTTTGCCATATTTAGTGTGTTAAATGTCGCAGTGTGAACACAGAACGAACAAACTGCAACATTGTGTCAGATTCATTCTGAATAAAAAGGGAGGATTTCACACGGAGAGGTGACTGTCAACTCTCCGTTTCTGTTCCTCCCATAACGAATAGCTTCAGATCTCCACCTGACAGCATATTTGTATGAATGTTGCTGAATGAAGTTAGCCGCACAAACTAAGTTAGCCAGTGTGTACGTAAAAGAAGGAGCTGAATTGCAGTTATTAATTAAATTGTACGTTTTTTAATTTAAAATCGTAATCGTAAAAAGGGTATTTTTATAATCTTTGTCTCTATTTTGTGAATAAATCCACTTAAAGAAATGTATACATTTTAAAAATACTCCGTTAGACCACATTCATCCTCTCTCGCTCACCCCACCACACTTTGCTCTGGAGGTCAAGTATTCGTAAATGAAGTTTACTTTCTTTATCTCCATTTGACAAGTTTATGGACTTTTGCTCTCCAGCGCAGCCGGTTGCTGCAGAGAAAAAGCTGATGACGCAAACTGGACGTCCCCCGTAGGACAGACCGTCCCGTTCCAGGGAGCGCTTGGTTCAGCCCCAGGAGACAAAATGAGACAAAGGCAGTTTATGCTTATTAGAAATGATTTTACGTTTCCGTTTATTCACAATTTCAAAACCTACTTTTTCACGTCCGTGCTAAATTTGTAAAATCAGGATGAGTAGTTCTTCAAATATTTTCCTACATAGAGACAAACTTTAAATAGATATTTCTATATTTTATACTTTTTGTACTCAGCGTTTTCTTTTACTCTTCATTCACAGAGTTTGTATTTATAGTTTTCATCCATTTATCAAAGAATCCGTCCTTCAGGCGTTTGGTTGTGTCACAACGGACGTTTGTTAAACTCTTTCACATGTTGGCGAAGCTGCAGCGGGAGAAATCTGCTCAGTCTCACACTGGTAATCGATTTCTTCACACATTTACCTTCAGGGCTGATTGGACATCCACATGGAAGAGACACCCAAGTCTGGCTGAAGCAGGTTCCACACACAACGCTTCCCAGAGGGACGGCCTTCTTCTGGATGCCGTGGAGATCAATGAACTGTGAGGATTTCTCCATCAATCGTTCCACTAAAAAGGGGAATTCCACCTTGTTTTCACATCAAGGATCAGCAAAAAACACCTGACAACGTTTTACAACGTAGGGAAATTAAGTTGAGAATTTTGCACAAATATTTTACAAATTTAACTGCCGTTTTTTTTCCCTGAAGTCAATATACAGTGAAAGACTCAGTGGAGAGAAAAAGGTCTGCTAGTTCACGTTGATGTGCCCTTGGGCAAGACACTTAACCCCACATGTTTAATGGAATGGATGTTGGTGTCCCGATGGGACGGTGTCACCTCGTATGGGAGCTCCTGTCGTCGGCGTGTGAACGATGAGCAGGTCTTTCAATAAACAAACGTATGAAGCTCCCCTGTAGCTGTGAGAATAAATAATGGTTAAGAAGGGAGTTCGTGAACAGTTCAAACACACAAACAGATGTTTGTGGTATAAAGTTACAGTAACCACATTACGACTTGTAGAACTTTCATCTGACAGGGAAGGAGAAAGAAGAGAAGGTGGGGGAGCGAACGCTGCTTCGCCCAATCAATACGACGCTTTCTTCAGGTGAAGCCTGGACACTGTTGATCTGCGGCCCCCCCGGCCCCGCCGGCCCCCCCTTCAAGGCTCCACAAGCTGCCAGATTGACTCAATCACCGATGTCATCTGGAGCAGAAAGTGACCTCGCTGCTGTAGCGTGTTGGTAGCGTGTTGGTAGCGTGTGTCCACATTCACTGTTGGTCCCAAAGGGCGAGAAATATCGCCTTTTTTTTATTCCGATCAGCCTTTTAAACTCGTTTCACAAATATATAAAGTATGTAACAGTCTGATGGACTCTGCTTGTTTCTGACCTCGTGACCCTTATTAAAGGTCAGTGGCAACAGACTGGACACATTTCTGTTCTGCACATTTGGTTTCAGCCAGTTGATTCTCTAAAATCCGACCACCATAAAAACGGGGGACAGAGGAAGTTACTTTTCTTCTTTTTTGATTTCTTTAAAAGGTGCTGAAGTTGAATTCTCACCTCTCAGACCCTTCCGCTGCGTTTCCTGCACTAAGGGGTGTAAAAAGAAAAAGCATCAGGTTCTGGATGTTCTGAGGTGAAAGGGTCTAAAATTAGTTTTTTTGCTGACTTTGCATCTCGAACTCGCTAAGTTCATCCAGAGTGAGGCTCAACGGCTCTACGGTAGCGGGTTTGATTCCTTCGATTAACTACGACTGAGCACATTAATCCGTTACTGACGCGGGAACTTGAATTTAAACTCGTGCATCGCTGACGTTGTTCATTCTGTACACGACATCCATCGCAGTCCGTCCTCCTCGGGGAGGGAGGTCAGATGTATCAAGAAAGATCTAAATATTCCATCTCAAAGGGATAGATGGAATCTATACATCTATATATATATATTTACACTATGTATGAAACATTACATTTATCATTTATTTTCTTTGCTTTTTCGGCCCTTTACAGAAATGCAGTGATGAATGCTGGGTAATATGTACGATGATTTACTTAATGAAGCGTTCAGGGCCTCTGAACAGTTACTGCCCAGCGGGGAGGGATCGCCATGGAAACCTAAGACCCGCCCCGAGGAGTCCGTACCGCCACTCAATAATCCCCCCGTCCTTTAGCGGTTTATCCATTTACAATGTGTTACAAGTGAAAACCTTTTAGTGGCGCACAATTCAAACGCAAACAAGCCGTGACAGTAAATAAAGACGTATTTATTCCAGAATCTCAGCTCATGCACGGATACAGCTCTTGTAAACAAAAACAAAAAATCATGTAATAAATGTGCAGATTTCTTTGTCTTCGTCTTGATGTCAAACTGTGGAATGTGGAAGCTAAGTGACGATACACGGAGGAAGGTCAGATATGCACCATCGACTTGGTCACAGCGTGAAAGCACACGCACACGCATGCACACGCACACATGCACACGGAAGGAAGCCTGAGGATGATTTAAGTCACACTTGTTTAAGACATTAGTGACGGATGAGATGTTGCACACGAGGAGCCGTGTGAAGTGCTGCTTGTGGCGCGCGTGAGGCGGCTGGCAGCCTCCGGCTACGGTTCCCCCCCCACAGGAGTGCGCCCTGCATCAGGTCCCCCCCCCCACAGGAGTGCGCCCTGCATCAGGTCCCCCCCCACAGACGTGAATGAGGCCCTCGTGTGTCGGATGTGAACAAACACTGCAGCTCAGAGCCAGAAACAAGAGGCTCCTCATGAATAGATGATAGTTGATAAATCATGTGTTGTAACTGTAAATCTACTTTGTCAAAATGAAAGTTTCTGCTGTATCAGTTAATTTATTCATATCCGTGAGGTGGCGATGCTGATTTCCTGTCCAGCTGAAGAGACTTTCCTATTGGACAGATTCAGTTGCTCTGTCATTACGCAAAGTCATCAATGCAGATGTAGAGATCACAACGTTACATATTGTTGATGTGATGATGGCATCGCAAGAGCAAAAAGAATCTAAAATCAGGGAGTTTAGCTTCATCAGTACTCATCCTCAGGCGACCATGAATGCACCAAGTTTCTTGTCAGATATGTTCCAGTTTGGGTCCAAAGATGTAGACAGACGGATAGCGACTGCTAGCTCTGCAGCTACGATGCTAAAAGACGCACCGACTCCATCGACTCCACCCACCAACAAAGAGTGATGTGAAACACCAGACCCGCCAATCAGAGCGGGCTGGGAGGAGGAGGCCGGATTGGCAGAGATGATCATTGTGTTGGTCTGCAACACTGATAGGAGCTGTGTGTGTGTGTGTGTGTGTGTGTGTGTGTGCGCGATTGTCGGCATTACGCTGTAGAGTTACAACTTCTGAGGAAGTTCCTGCGAGCGAGATGACTCGATATAAAAGCAGAGCCGGATTAGAGGCCCTGGTGTCACTTAGAAAATAGAGATATAGGATGTACTGCACACCTTGCACACACCCCGGGGTGAGCATACAAACACTTAATAGAATTCGCTTTAGCTTTCTCAACAGGCACAGTAGTGTCACCCTGTGTGGCAACGCCACAAAAAAAAACTGATAAAAAGACTGAAGGAAGCCGAGTTCTCCCCAAGAAAAGAAACCACTCGCTAAGAATCAGAACCGTTAACTGGAATCAATCAGTTCATTTTTCAAAAAAAATGTGCATCATTAAAAAATATACGAGGAAAACAAGCGCATCCTTTATACAAAGTCAGTAGTACAGAGAGAGAGAGAGAGAGAGAGAGCGCAGTAGGAAGTAAGGCCTCTGTTGTTTTTTTGTTGGCAAAAAAAGAGCAAAAAAGAATTTGTAGATTAATTACATCTTTCTTTCGATAATGTTCTATATGTGCAAAAGTGTAAATCTTACAAATACAAAGAGTTTATGTTCTTGGGTCTCAGGAGACGGGGGATTGTGCTCGAGGTGGTTGTCGTGGTCACCCCCCCGTCCCGGCCGGCCGACGCCCCCCCCTGCCGCCGCTCCCTGGTTGGTCCGTCACGCCGCCGCTCATCAGGACGCCGGCTTCACGTGGAGTGGACGACGCGCTTCAGCTTCTCTATCTCCATCTGGGAGGACACAAGGACACAAGCGCTCATCAGGGAAGGAGGAGAACAAGTCGGCCAGAGGGGGCTTGTTTGGTCCAGCCAGCCGCCCCCCGTGAGGGGGCGTCCCGTGAGGGGGCGTCCCGTGAGGGGGCGTCCCGCTGCGGAGCGCCACTCTTCCTGCCGGGGACGACAAGGCAGCCACGCGTCGGAGGAAGTGACTGACTCCGTCTGGGCCAAACCACAAGGAATGATGGGAACTCAGCCAATCGCTTTGGTTGCAGCTACTCACATCAGAGCTACTAGTATTCCTATTTTCAATTAATGAATTAACACCTTTTCCCAACAGATTGACAGTCAAAGCAGCCTTAAATCTACTCGTGTGCACCGGAGACGCTCTGCTTCAACCGGGTAGAAGCTCCTCCTGCAGCCCGGAGGGAAGCGCTTCATTATCTTTCCCTGCTTGCCAACGAATCTAAGCTGTGTGTGTGTGTGTGTGTGTGTGTGTGTGTGTGTGTGTGTTTCTGCTCTCTTGCTTCACGGTTATTTGAGGTGAAACAGTTTTACTGGAAATGACTTTTTACAGAAATATGTCTTCAGGGTTTTGGGAAATATTTCAACGGGGGGGGGGGGGGCGTGGTGAGAACACAAGGTTGTCCGTGGCCACCTGTCAATCACCCTGGTCACTGCAGCCCTCTGACGTCCCGCGTCGGGTTTAAACATTCAATCCAGTCGGCTAAACCAACGGGAGCCACGATGTCCACAGCGCCTGTTGCTATGGCGATGGACGTTACCTGCAGGGCCACGCGCATCAGCCGCTCCTCGTCCAGCTCTCCTCTGAGCGCCGCCATCTCTTTCCTGGTGGATAAAACACACACACACACACACACTCATTAGTGTCTGCGTGTAGGAAATGATGACTACTGTGTGTTTTAGGGAGATTTAATTAACAAAGAAATCCCCACATAATATTTTCATTTGAAATCTAAATAATGTTGAAATGCCACAAACTGACAAAGCTAAATGTCTCTGTATTATAAGACAATAGTGTGTCATGAAGCTGCATGTCAGCATAAATAAATATGAAGTAAACTCTCAGAGACTCAGCGGCCCGTTTTCATCTGAAAACCAGCCGGGTCGATGGATCCGTGATTAAAAAGTGCAGCGCGCTCTGCGTGGTTGCCGTAGCAACGCCGGCTGTTTAAAGCACCAGCTGAAGTCCTTTGATCATCTGCCAACGAGGCCCCTGTTCCGCCGCCGCGCTCAGAACCGGCTGGGACGTCCGGTGTTCTGTGGACTGAGAGGACAGCCTTACGTTTGCTGGACCTTCAGCAGCTCCACGGACGCCAGCAGCTGCTTCATCTGGCCCCTCAGCTCGCCCAGCTCGCCGCCGGCCTCGCCGCGCTCCGGGCTCGGGGCCGCCGCGGCGCTCGGCTTGGCCTCGGCGGCGTCGGGTCCGATGGGTGGCGGCGTCTGGGATACGGTGTTGGTGGAAGGCTGCGAGGGCGCAAACACGAGTCGGTCAGACGGACTTTTAAACTGCTGAGGACGCATGAGACACACACACCTGCTCAGGTACACAACGAGTCCCTGTCTGTTCTCGCCCACAAGGTCAGAGGTGAAACCAACACCGTCCTGGTGAATAATGGACCTTCATGTTAACGGTTGTGGTTCCTGTGACGGTGTGAGAATGTCACTGGCTGACGGCCTTCTGACTACAGCTGCCATTAGGTCACACACACTTCTCACTGCGTAGAGGGAATAACTCACAAGAACAAGCAGGACTTCTGGCCCGTTAACGTCGTGCTGGTCCTGAACGCGATCCCTTGGGACCCGCGTGGGGAGGAGGGGGGAGTCCTTTCATTTGTCTTCATCCAGTGTTTCATTGTGCAGCTGAACAGCCCCCCCCCCTCTAACTGAATAGGTGGGTCTAGTTGGTCTCAGCCTAACACGACTAATCCTGACTGGTCCCCCCCCCCCATACACAATGGATCCTGCACGCACAACGCTGGCTAACAACAGACTACTGGGACCTAATGAACTAACGGCCTGTAAGAACGCGTTAACAACGCCGTGGATATCAAGGTTTCTTTCACAGCGTTTCATTAGAACCACATCTCATCCAGTCGGCTCACGAGAGGTTAAAAGGTCGGGACTCCCTGCTGAAGTCAGAGCGGTTACATGGAGCCCATCGAGCTGAAACCTGGGTTTCTGTGAGTCGACTTCAGCTGAGCTACGAGTGTTTCTACCTCCTCACACGAGCAGGCGAGTTAAATGTGGCTGTGCGGTGTGTTGACTTTTAATGGACGCGGCGCCCAGATGGCGCTCAGTTCCCTTTCTGCTTTCTGTCGGCTTCGGTTTGGCAGCAGCATCCGCGTCGTCCATCTTGAAGGACTTCTCCACGCTCAGCTCCTTGGTGGGCTGCGGGGGGAGAGTTGGAGTCACACATTTGACTCCCTGAGAGGCCGAGCGGCCCGACGGCACCGTGATCCGCGACCCGGTGACCCCCGGCAGCTACTCTGTGTGCGTGAAGCGGTGTGACGTGTGACAAAAGGGAGTGAAAGCAACATCCATGGAGTGCTACTTGTTAGCTGCTCTCAGAGCCCTTTAAGGACGCAGAGCGGACGGGACAGAAGAAGGACGCCGCGTCCCTCCAGTCCGCCGCACATTACGGGACCGAGCAGGAACATGAGAAAAACTCATCCGTTTTTAAGAGGCTCGATTAACGTTCATAACCTGTTTATCCAATTAAAAGAGAAAGTGCTCCTTTCAAAAGAATTAGCCTCATGAAAGCTGCTTAAATGGGTGGATATGCAAATAATATTAGGTTGATGGTCTTGTTGAATTACTACGTAGTCACTAAATAATGTAAAAATATAAAGAAAAGGCTCATTGGAGCTGTTTGCAATTGAATTCAATAGAAGGGATGTTGATGATGAATGGATCTCTGCTGGAGTCTGAGTATGAGAGGTACCGAGAGCTTCAGGAAGAGGACGTAGAACTCCAGCATCCGAACTGCTGCAGAGTTTCTTCACTTGGATGAACCCGGGTGTTGGTCCCCATGTATTCATATGAGCCTCAGGAAAGGTTCAGTGGTTCTCGATAGCCCGCGGTGCTCGTGTCCCTTCACCAAGGTCTTCCGCCGAAATGAACCCGGCAGCCTCCTGCCGGCCCTCTTTTGTTCTTGGAGCAGTAGGGTGAGAGAGTTTCTCCGAGAGGGAACATCTCGTCAAAAGTCATCAGATCTGTGGGGCCTAGTTGGGGGGGGTGGGGGGGGAGGAGACAAACTGGTACATAAATGACATGACATTCTCCTGCAGAGAGCAATCCACCCCTCCTCTATTCGACCACCCTCAGGAACTGGACTCAGCACCGTGACCATCGGATCACACAGATCATCACAGAACACGCTCGAACCAACAGGCCTCGCTCAGCACATTCAAACGCTGCTACGCCTCATCGTTCACTCCTGCACTTTTTACAAAGTACTTCTAGTAACCTGCCTTTTTTTTGTAATAGTGTTTGTTAATTTAGCTCTTGTTTTTAGCCGTGTGTTTGTCTGTGCTGCTGCCTCTCGGACAGCTCATCCGTGTAAATGAGAAATGGTTCAACGGATTTTACCTGATTAAATACAAAACACCTAAACAGGAAGTGAGATTTATCTGTTAGATAAATCACAGTATTTAAATTCAACTACACAATTTGTTTACCAGTGCGCGGGCACGACAAAGTTAAGCAGAGGACAGAATGCGTCCGTCCTCCTCTCGTGTCCCTGCAGCTGCTGTTGTGTAAAAGCACTCAGCAGCTGCAAAAGAATCACACGTGGCGAGAGAGAGTGTGTGTGCGTGTGTGTGTGTGTGTGTGTGTGTGTGTGTGTGTGCGTGCATCATGGCGTTTTAGCGGCTCCTCAACACCTCTGGTCCCTCGTCCTCCCCCGGCCTCCCTCAGGCTCACTCGTACGTCTTTATTGAAAGCAAAAAGAGCTTCAGGGATGTTGATCAATCGATCCGTAAACCATCTGCCAGTCACATGATCGTACGTGACCGTGTGCCGGTGACTCTCGACCACAAGGGGAACTCGCGGGACTTTACTGGCTGTGGCGCCGGACGCCGTTATCCTGTCAGACAGCGATTTCTGCCGTCAACTATGAAGAAATGAGCAGTGCTTCTGCTGGGCGCTGGTGGAGCAGGTCCACGCTGTGGTACGCCTGCGCGTCGCGGGGTTTCAACCCGAAATGAGCAAACTTAGCTGCACTGAACGCTACTTAGGTTTATCATTAGGAAGTTGCTTGTTGTTCGCTGTGATCACAGCATTCGTGACATATTTCTTGTTGCTCGTGCCAGTAGAGTTTCTCAGAATCAGCCTGCCGTGTCGTTGCAGCAAGCACATAAACTGCTGTTGGCCCACAAATCTGATTGAAAGCGACGGCGAAGCGTGAAGAACGCTCTCGTCCCTCGTGGAACATTACGTTTCCCCCCAAATGTGCAGTTCAAATAATGGAGAAGAACCAGAAGCATCACCTGATCCCGAGGAAGTGGACACATGGTCCAGTATTGATACGTACCCGTGTCCGCGCACTTCTCCTCCCACTCCCCCGACAGCGGTATGGGTCTAGTGGGCGGCTCCGGGTCGGGCTTTGGTCCGGTAGAAGGCAGCTCTCCATTGAGCCTGTGGAAGGAGAAGCAGCGGTAAATGCTGCTGGTGCAGGTAGGAGGCGAATACTCGCACGGCCATCGGGGACTCACTTCAGGCTGGGCGAGGGAGCGAGGGGCTTGTCCGGCCTCTTGGGCGGGAAGCCTCCCGGCCGGCCTTTGCCGGGGGGGGGCGCCGGCTTCTTGGGCGGGACCAGCGGCGCCGCAGGTTTGGATGGTTTGGGATCCGGCGCAGGCTTGTCAACTGAAAACACAAGAGGTGGAAAGAGACGTCGATGAAACCGTGAACGATGAAAGAGGCGCAGAGGTGAAAAGGTCATTTCACCGTCAGAAGTGTGCACAAGGAAACCGGGCAAATCCTCCACAAACGGCAATAAATAAACCAGCTCATCTGCAGCAGCGTGTCGTCGTTTGGAGTATTTCCCGATGCAGCACGGTGGTATATACTTAGTAAAGGACGCTTCAGTCTCATAGAACATAGAGCAGGGAATGCTTTAGGGCGGGCTCACTGTGATTGACAGATGGGTGCCTCTATCAGGGCCACATACGGCATCCCTCTGCCGTGTCCCAGGAGGACACTGACCAAAGCTTCTCCGCGGCGAGCCAGAGGCTACGGCCACTTCGTATTTACAGCCCGTGGTCACTTTGACTCGAGCACAGGGAAATTATGATGACGGCATCTACATTGATTCTACTATTAAGTTAAATTAGTTTAGTTTAAGTTAACTGCCAGTGTGACCTCCTAACTCTGCTAGGTTTTGACCTGATCCAAGTCTGTTTTTGCCTTGTCTTCTGAAGCAAATAAGACTTGAATCCTTAAACGCTCATTTTGTCAAAACACCACATGGTGATTGTTCACTGATTAGGGTGTCAAGCTATTGGTGCTTTGCATTTTGAGGAGTTTCTGTCGAGGCCAATCGACCTTTTGTCTCCTAAACGACGGGGGAGCGGCCAGCGCAGCCGCAGCCGACTTCCACTAACGAGGGAGTATTTAACTAGAAATCGTGGGAAGCGTTAGCTTATCCTCGCAGCACGAAGACGAGCAG